TGGAATTTGGAATTAAACCCTGGGTTGGCATCCCTGCTTTGTCACTTAACCTCTCTAGCTTCAGTTTTCGCACCTATAAAGTGAAATAGAAATAACAGACCTGCCTATCTCACAGGGTTATTATGTATGTGCATGTATTTTGTGTAATGTAAAGTAAGGTATGCTATTAGTTGTTAATTTTACTTTTTTACATATTATAGGTATGGGTGACATTGAAGGACTAATAGATAAAGTCAACGAGTTGAAGTTGGATGACAATGAAGCACTTATAGAGAAGTTGAAACATGGTATATAAGGAGCCAAAAGCATTTTATCTCAGAATATTTTCTATTGCTTGCTTTTTAATAAAACTAGTATTTATTTGTTTGAAATGATAAGTCTATTACTAAAGCCAGTGCCTGAAATGTTTATTTTTTAGATGATTTATATGCAAATCATTTTAAATTTCAGACATCTGAGCAATTTAATTTTAGTCATCCTAGTGGGTATAGTTTATCTGCCTTGTTTTCAAGTGTCTTGTGTATTTTTTTATTCCATTTTCTCTGATAGAATGTAAGCTTCTCTAGAATAGGATCTGTGTATCTGTATATTCTCTCTTGAATTCATTCTATGATCTTGCACATAACTGCTCAGTGACTATTTATTAATTGGATATTTTGTAAGTGTGCTTCAAGATGAACCCATAATGAAAGAAAATAGTAGTTTTATGAAATGAAATGTACATTTTCTAATATATCTGACTCACATTGTATTTCAGGTCAATTTACGTTGCGAGACATGTATGAACAATTTCAAAATATTATGAAAATGGGCCCCTTCAGTCAAATCTTGGTTAGTTATCCTAAAAAGTTTTTTTCTAACTTGTTTTGTTTTTCATTGAAATTTCTAAGAACAGATGTACTTGCTTTAATTATTTTTAATATTTGGGTAAAAATATATACTTTAAAAACTTAGTATCAATGTTAAAGCCAATAATTAAATGTCAACATTCGGAATAATTCATCTCAAGCTATTATTGATTTTATGTTTAAATATGTCTGTTTTAGGGGATGATCCCTGGTTTTGGAACAGATTTTATGAGCAAAGGAAATGAACAGGAGTCAATGGCAAGGCTAAAGAAATTAATGACGATAATGGATAGTATGAATGATCAAGGTAAGTTGGTAGATTACTTGTTCTGCATATCAGCAAGTTGAGAGTTTCACTGTGGTCTTGTGGACAAGATGGAGAAAAATTGAGACTGCAAGGCTTTTCTTAGGTAGATTTGTATTTGTTTGAAAGCTCTTACTCAGAGGTTAATGATTAGTAGATAGACTTCATCATTGAGGAAAAGGTCTAGTTCCATGGAAACAACACTAGTTCTTCATGATGTTGGTAGAA